TTTGCGCAGCGATTGCGAGCGATTGCGGTAGGTGCTTCGATTGTGAAGTACTGGATCAAAAAAAAAATCTTAGAAATGTATTTGAAAGTATTTTATGGAATTCAAAATTGCAGCGAAGAAAATCTGTCGTTGGTGCGTAATTCTAAGCTAAATGCGGAAGAGCTACGAAAAGTCCGTGCGAATGAACAGAGCGAGCGTACGGCTAATGTGCAGCTCACGACGAAAGTGGATGATTTGCAGCACACACTGCAACTTCGCGATCTCGAAATCATCAAGCTGCTTGACAAAAATGAGGTGAGTAGTGATTGCATTTGCTGCGCCGGTGATGTAGATTGAATTGAAACTGCGGGTTGTAACACCTTTGGCTTTTTATGAGCAGCATTTTTTCCATCTTTATGATGCGAAACAGAATACATCGTTCTAGCTGAATGATTGTGTGCGTTCATTGCGATCCTAACCGGCACAATTTTACGCCACCTAGGAGTTTTCTTTTCAAAATTGATGAGTAAATTTTTTTAAAAAATGAAGATTAGTTCTTTAAAGATTTATTACATAGAAGATATTTAGAAGTTTTTTTTTTATTTTTTTTTTTCTTGCAACAGTGAAATTCTTTCAAAACATTGCTGCGGAAATAGTGGAGATGGAGTTTTACTCCTGCAATTTGTCTGTGTCCCAGCACCTCCCAAAAAGCCTACGAACACTTTGTTCAAAAACATAGCAACAGCTGTTTCTCCCAGAACAGTTGTAAATTTTCGTTAAGATAAACTTCTTTGCCCTTTTTTTATGCAACAACTTTTTCCTTTCGTCCAATAGGAGTTCTTAAAAATTTTACGATAATTCAGAACTTCTCCTTTTAGTGAAAGAAATCTTAAGGCAAATGAAACAGTAAAAGATATGAGGAAATATTCTCTTGAAAAAAAAAACGCAAAAAAAGTTTTGAAAGTGAAAAGTAATAAGAAACAAATAAGGCAGACAAAAAGCTTGCCTGAAAAAATTCCTGCATTTCGAATCGCAAGTTGTCTATCTGCTGATGTACTGTACAGTATGAAACATTTGCGAAGCATATGTTTCATTGAAAGGATGAACAGGATCGTACGTCGTGTAGATTGTGCTTCGTGATTGGTGGTTTTTTTTTTTTTTTCAGATGCTCAGTCATCTGAACAAAACTCTGGAAGAAGAAAGTAGGGCTTTAGCACAACA